TACAACTACTTGCAACTCCAGCTCCAGGGAAGCTACCATGTTCTTCTGGCTTCTACAGGCACTCTCATGCATGTGCAAAAAATACATATACATATAAATAAATCTAAATCAAAAATGCTTCATGATTTTTCATGACTTCTTAATGGGAAAACCCATAACTATATCCTCATTAACTCTGGCCTCACCCTGGACAAATTCTACTCCCACAGGAGACAGAGGCTGTGGCCTGTTTGACTCCCTGGAACTGTGTTCTCCTCTGCTCAATCAAGCTCCAGTTCCATGTGAGACTTCTGGCTTCCCACTGCTCACTTCCTCAAGAACACTCAGATGCTTCCTATCTTCACACTCCAGACAAGATGCCTTGTATCTCTCAGTCCTATACATTTACACTCCCTGATATCTGGGAAAGCATTGCTTGGTGCTGTAACTGCTTTCCTAAGATCTGTTTCTGAGCAATGAACACACTGTGGGAAAGAAGACCATATAGGCAGCTGCTCAAAAGTGAAGCTCAGCCTTTCATAACTGGTTAACTCAATTGAATTTTGGCACTGAGATTGCCTACACTTTTATTAGAGGCCTTACAGTTAGCAGGGGAAACCTTCCCTTCACAATGTACACACCCTGTGACCCAGAAAGACTCACCTTCCCTTAGCCTAGTATACATACCCCCGGCAGCAATTGAGGTGAGTTTGTTTGAGGTCAGGGTTTATAGAGAATAATAGGACTGGTCAATCACAAAGCTGACTACATGTTATTAAGGAAAGGCTAAGTAGTTAATATAGTCAATAGCAAGTTAAGAAGAGAATTTAGAACTGTATTTCTGAAACAAACAAAAAGTGAAACAAAATAGCCTCTAAAAATATTTCTCAGGGAAAAAAAAAGAAAAAGGTTAAAGTCAAACAATTATTTCAACATGCTGCTAGAAAACTCACCTCTGCAGGATTTGTATGAGTTAAAGTCCATGTTATTTTACTTGGTCCCTAATCTTTTCCATCCTTAAAAGATATTGAATTTGCAAACCTAGGTATTTTCTTAATGTATAGAATAGCAGTATGGAAAAACTAGATAGATAGATAGATAGATAGATAGATAGATAGATGATATAGTTAGTGTATGTATTGTTTGTACAATATATTTGTACAATATATATGTATATATATTGTTTGTACATGAAGAACTTTGTTACAGTTTTTTGGAAAAAGAGAGAACTCCTGTGCAGATTTTAAAATAGAAGAGTCTGATTTCTCAAGTAGAAAAGATAAACATTTCAATGTTTTTCTTTTGTCTAATTGATGATGCAAATAGTCACTTTCTTCAATATTCTCTCAGTGTTATACTTTCATTAAAAAAATGTTAAATGACTCCACAATCAACAAATAGGCAAACACACCAGAGTGAATTTATCTGATGAGTCTTTGTTGAGGAGCTCTCTAGCCATTTCTATGTGGACCACTGCTGGCCAGCTCACCAGCTCTCTAGCCTTTCCCATGCAGACCACTGCACTCCAGCTCTCTAGCGTCCCCTGGCTGCTATTTTCTCCCTCAGACTCGGCTAGCTTCTCTGCTGAGCCAGTGAAGCCTTCTTAATGCCTTGGGCTTTCATGCCTTTGTGCTCTTTCCTCTTTGTTTATCTTTTCTGTTGAAGACATTGCAGAGTTTGCAAATTATGTTTATTTAGTATCAGCAGAAAGTGAATTCTTACTAACAAAAGAACTTTAAAAACTCATGAACTTTTCAAAACAACCTACGCAAACCACATTACATATTTCTCTTCCTTAATTAACCATTTTTTAAATTTAAGCTTTCTTACAATGTAGCCAGGTATAATTGTAGAGTAATACCTTAGATATGGAATCTTATAGATAGGGTCATTTTACTTTTATCTATTATTTTAATGGATTTATTGAGTAATCATTAAATTCTATACTCTTCCTGTGTCCTTATATTGACTTTCCCTGATTGCCATAATATTGAAATTGCTTAACAGTTTGTACGTAAGCAGAAAGAATACATATTTTTTTATATTTGCCTTCTTTAAAGGTGCACTTTAAAAGCACTAAATCATGATATGCTTACATGACACATACTCTAGTCATTGAATCTGGTTTTCTCAATTCCAGCAGTCTTCATCTTCCCATAATGTCTGAATCCATAAAATTATAGCAAAAAAAAAAAGAAAAAGAAAAAAGAAAAAAGAATGTTACTCCAGCAAGATGAAAGAATTTCTACCCTGTTTTTCCAAGACCGGATGATAGCTGAGTGAATGTAAACATAGGTGGCCTGTGCCTTTCTTACTCTTGTTGTGTGGGGGAGGCAAGCACAGAGACTACAGACAATGAGAACAAGCTAGGAGGTTTGTTTTAGCAAGAGGGAGGCAGGCTAGATGGCACAGATGCCCAGCAAGAGCCTTCAAGAATCGACAGAAGTGGAGCACCAGTTCCATTGATAAAGACTTCCATTAGCTTTGAGACATTACAGAGTGATGGGAAGATCTTCAAGGGTATTACAAAACCCAACTAGAAAATGAGTGGTTACTGGTCATTGACTATGACAGCTGTGCTGCTTTCGAACCTAAGTCTGAGGGAAAGAGCAAATTCCACATGACTGGGGGAACAGTAGGGCTAAGAAAAGCAAACAGGACCAAATCAAAACTGCTTTGCCTACAGTCTTGGAGGAGGGTGGCAAGGGGTTGCTGACGGCTTGAGTGAAGGAATGGGATGGTCAGATCTGTATTTTTTTTTTCAGATAATGAGGGTGGGTAGAAGAGCCACAGATTGTGTGTACTGAATCAGAATGTTTTTCCAAAAAGAAAATCAACAGAGGGGATGGCTGGAAGAGGAGGTTTAGCCTTGGGAATGGAGAAGAGCAGGCAGATAGCAGTGGCACTTGGTAAGTTAGACACCACACTTGAAGGTGGACTGGAGGTGGGGCAGCTCTTGAGAGCTGTGTCTAGAACAATGCCTTGACACTTCTATGGAAAACTAACAAGAGCTGTTCCCATAGATAGGGCAGCAAGAGAACAGACTTGGGAAGAAGGAGTTGATGGACAGTCTGGGACACAATTAAGGTAGAACGTCCATGTGAAAATGGTGTGGAGCTGTGCATGATGATTGGGAGCTCACTATTTAGCCTCGTAATAAATATACAAAGGAATTTAAAATAGAACTTTGAAGGCGCATGTGTTTCCGCTTTTTAATTGCACAGAAATCACTTACAATTCTAGCTCTGTCCCTAGAACGTAGTTGGCTCTGCATTGCCATGGAATATTGATTGGCATATTTGATTTGCAAACTATCTCATATATATCTGCTGACTTCAAATGTATAAAAATATGTGGGACAAGTGGAACTTGACCTTTAAGGCTTAAATTTAACTGTGGCTTAATAGTCCTTTAAATGAGCAATAGGTCTATATAGTAAGGATAGTTGTGTCTTGTGGAAATGTTATTTTTAGGGAATTGAATTTCTCAAAAACATAGTTTTTAGACTAGAAATAAGTTGTGAATGGTGAGAACCAATGCAATTGAGTTCACACAAAAAGATTTGATTAAATTAATAGAATTATTTAATGTTTTCTAAGCACGTGTATACTGCCAATGTGTTAAATCTTTGTCTGTTAACTTATTAAACTATTGTTTTATGAATCTTCTGCAGCACTATATACAAATTGAATGTTTTGCCAATATCAATCCCTTACTGGTGGTTCTAACAAAGAATTCTCATTCAGGGACAGGTCTTTTTCCTTGGGGAAGTAAATAGAGTCAGTGATTTACTGATAAATCCACCCACTATATGCATCATCTCTGGCCCATATATCAATGTCACGGGCAACAGCTTGCTTTCCTAAGTGATTTTGCAGTGTCTTCTCCGAGACTATTCTGTTTAGTAATCAGATCAAAGTGCCAACATGCATACTGCTTAGCATCATATGAATTGTTTTCGTCTTTAATAGCACAATTAGTTGAGAGACACTTTATGGAATGTTTTCCAGTGCTGAAATTTTATCCCACCATATTGGTCTACTTAAAAAAATGCTAGTTTGTGCCTCACTCCTGTGCACTTGAGCGCAGATTATTTGCTACGTGTTGTATTTAAAATTGAAATGTTATTCTTGTTGGCAATTAGAAGAATTCTTACTGTCACAGTTCTCCCTGACTGACCAGTTTTTAATTTGATGTTAATTATCTTAGCAGTTTGGGAGACGAGGCAGCCTTTCTCTTTCCTGTTATTAAATGGCATTAAATGTTCCTTCCAAACCCTTGAAAATGGATGGCGAAACTAATGAGTGATAGCTTCGTGGAAATTTACATGGGGGCGAATCGGAAACTGTAAAGGAAAAGGGCTCCTTTGATGATGACTGACAGCTAATGACAGAGCGTTCCATCTTGATTTTAAAAAGGAGGCTTTCCTGAGTTCAGTTTCACATCTTTGTAAGTTGATCCAGGAAAGGACTTTAGGAAGACGATTGGAAGGACACAGAATTTTTTTTTTAAATAAAACATTAAGACAAAGAAAAGTTTCTTTAATGATGTTTTAAAAACAAGCTATTGATTTTCTTCTTGCATTTTCAATGCAGACATTTTGGCAGTCCCCGTAGCAGACCGCGCTTCTGGAGAAGTGTGTTGTGCTATGTACATAATCTGCGTAAGGAATTCTACTTGCAGCATATTTTTCTTCAAAGGCTTTGCATTTCTGCATAAAAAGCTTATTAATTATTTGTAGCTGCTTGTCATCGTGTTCTGATAATAGAAGGCTGGTCAAGGATAATAATTACCACTTCACCTTTTTGGATCATATATATCCACTATTCCTTCTGCAATATGACCCAAAGCATCTCTCCTCTCCCTGTACACAGGACCAAAAGTGCAGGCACATCATTTATTGATAAGACAAAAAGAATGTAATGAAATTATCAATGTTCTTGAATTAATTATGAACATGATTAAGAAAGCTAAAATCTCAGGAGCCAGGATCTCATTACCCATTCAGTCTTAGGGATTGCTTTCATTCAGCTAGGCAAAAAGGCTTTGAGCAGCCCTGCAATTGCCTTTCTCTCATTTATTTGTGCTAGAATTAAGGTTTATTTGTTTTCTGTTTTCCTCGTCTTCAGATTGTTTCTCTGTCTTCATCCATTTAACAAACTGTTTCCTCCTGTATCTCAGAAGGAGGCACCTCCAGGGCCTACCTCTCCGCAGCCTGCATACCTTCTTTGAGTGCATGTCTCCCATTTTGCTGGAGCTTCTAAATATCTCTCAAGGTAAGTCAAGAATGTAGCCAAAAAGTTCTATCAGATTTATGTGTGCAGCTATACAACAGTTCTGTCTGAAACCCATTCAGCCAGGAGTCTTAATGACATCATTATTACGCTGTCTGTACTGGGCTAGATTTTCCTCGGAGCCTTCAGTGTGTTATTACGAACCTTCCTTTCTGTACGAATGATACTTGCTGAGGGTGGGGAAGTGATTCTGAGCTAGGGGGAAAATTCATTTGTGTTCAATTCAGATTTGCAAGAATAGTGGAAATAAAAAAGCAAAAAGCAATCCCTTTTAAGTTTCTATTTCCTGTACAGATATCCTGAGAGCTCTGAAATTTCCAATCTACTGATAACACAATTGAGAAGTGTGTCTGAAATACTGGGTTTGTTCTTTAAAATGTCCGAGTTTCTTTTTTACATGCAAGAAGACCTGAATTTCTTGGATTGTAGTGTTTAGTGCAGAGAAACACTGAACTGGTATTTGTTTGAAAATATCTTGGAATTGTCCTACCAGAACCTGACCAAACTGAGTTTTGCTTCTTGTTTTCCCCTTAAAAACCAAAGCAAAACAAAAAACTGAAGGCATGCGTTCTTTTTTTTTTTTTTTCCTTGAAGAAATCAATGTTAGTTCAGTGGGAAACTTTCCTGAAATTTGATGACAGGTCATTTGTAAGAAAGGTTATTGGCAAAACCAGTAAGATGCTGTCAGTATGCGTTTTACAGTCTCACAGAGGGATCACAAAGATAGCATAGTTGCATGCTATTTTGCCTTAAGTATGAATACGGGGCTCACGTTCTTCTAGGAGAGAATCATGTATTGCAAAAATAAGACAGAATAAAAGAACTGTAGCTTGAGGCCACCGGATAAATACTGTATCCATCAATCCTGGTTTTCTTTAAAGTGCTGATTTGATATGACTGTTAAATCATCTAGGAATTTAAATGCATAAGATCATTAAGAACTAAACATTTTAGAGCAATAAGTGACAAACTGACTTGATTATAGCCCATAAAACAAAAATTGTCTGTCTCTCAAAGCTTAAGATCCACTTGAACATTTAAAGATGTGTTTGAAAATAACAAATATAGCGAGATAACAAAGGGAGAGGGCTGCTGTCTCTTTCTGCAAACCACAGCCTGTGGTCACAATATTTAGACAATTGTGTATGATGCATTAAAATGTTCGTTTCCTTTATAGCAAATATCTAGGATGTTGAAATATATTGGTTGAATATTATGTTGTTTATGAAGACAATATCTGTTAATATGGGGACACATCAGAGGCTTTTGTCCTTCTATATATCCTGATGTCTTCTTTTGAATTTTATTAATTTAATAAGCAAGCAGTTGTTATGACTAGTTAACTATTGCTGGGTGTCATCAGTTTCGTTCTTAAGTTAACTAAATTGATGGAAATAGGCAATTTCATTTGAAAGTGTTAAAAATGCAAGAAGATACCAAACCTCATTTTTAGGCTTCAAGCAAGAAAAGCAATAAAAATAATTTTATTACTTTATGAGCCCAAATGTCTGGGAAAAAAATGTTTAAGTAGAAGCTCCTTGGATTTCATTGAACCTCTCTGAATTCCTTCTGATATTTCTTTCATATCTTATCATGACAGAAAAACGAATCATAAAATATCCTTCATGCCATTTCTGCATGAAAGGAGAGAACAGGAGCCCCATGTCGCTCCCTGCAGGGTACAGCTGTTATTGGGGTTTTCTAGGTGTAGCCTGAACCTCAACAACTGGACATGATAAGGTGAAGCAGTTTTGAAGCCGAAAGAGAGAGAGAAACAGTGGAGGCTGAGGGGAGGTGGGAGAAGGAGAAGGAGGTCTTGTCTTGCAGAAAAGTTGTGACAGAACACTTTCCTTTTTGTTTCTTACTGGCTATCAGTACATTTCTAGACAACTCTTAAAAAAAAAAAAAAAGATCATTGGCACCACAGTGGGCTAGATGCAACTAATTCACAGAAGTGTTAATACACGCCTTGAAAAGCTACATCAGTGCAATGTTTAAATACTCATCTTAGAAAATAAAAAAGTATGTTCCTAATCACCAAAATTAACTGCCAAAAGTATCCTGGTTCACGTATCATCACTAATTTGCACGCAAGAAAGTGAAATTACAATTCCACAAACCAGGACTGACTTCCTGCGTATAGAGTACGAAAACTAACAATAGCAGTGAAAAGTTTGAATATTTATCCTATTTTCTGAAGGCAACATTATATGGAAGGAAAATAAAACAGGAACAATTTACTAAATCATATATGACTGTTATGAAATTCAGTGCTCAGCCAAGTGTGACGCTCTCTAGTCATGATACTGACGGAAAGGTGACTACGTTCAAACCTAATTGTCATGGAAATAAAACTTCCACCTAAAGTCAATATAAGTAATCTTAAATATTTAATTATTTAATACACCAGTACTGTTCTTGTTCGCATTGCTTGAATTAGTTCCAATAGCCACGCAGCCCAAGAATCTTGCATGTGTGTGGGGTTCTACATATTTACAGAGGTTTTTGTTTAAAGGGAGTGAATTCGCTAGGACAAGCAGCAGCAGATGTTAGGAGATTTCAATTCTGTCAGTATCTACCTGTGACCTTGAGAAAGTCACAGAAGCTCTTGAAGCCTCGAAGTTTGCGTCTGTGTGAGGAGTGGGATAAGCAGTCATTGTTAAGGCTTCTCCTCACACCAGTTACGTTTTGTGCTTACAGCTGCCTGTGTGAATGCGTACAAAATATGTACACTCACACGGATGTTCATTTGACTGCATTAGTAAGCCTGACCTTCGTCTTTCCTGTTATTTTCTTTACCAAATGTGAAGGTGTTAGTGGACACTTTTCATAGAACAGAACATACTGCATCGTCTTGCTGATACTCTAACATCCAATATCCCTGTTAACTTCATTTCTGAAGAAAAAAAAAAAAACAGCTTAATTTGCTGTTAAACTTGCCTCCATTTGTGTTTATGCTGATCTGTGCCTGTAAAACGGTGGGCCTTGCTTTCCTGCAAGTATATCTTTAACAAAATTCCCACATGTGGAAAGAGACTTGTTTCATGTTCACATTTTTTCACAGCAAGTTGTTGGGTCTTTGCAAATTGCTAATGGGCTCATTAAGTGCCTGCTTGTAATCGACTGAGTGAACATGGAATTGAGAATTGTAGCTAAAATGAGATTCGGTTTTAATTTTTTGGTCAGTAGCATCCATTCTGCAGTCTCCCAAATCAGTGCAAAGGACAAGGAATGGTGGTCGGCAGCTCATCTCTTGCCTGGAAGTTTAAAGGCCTGGCAGAACATACAGAGCTATGGAGGCTGCATGGAGGGGGCCGGGGTGCTCTGAATGGGTTAAGAACTACCTGCTTGAGATTGATTTAAATCAGTAATGGATCATCTCATAAAGCTGCTGTTACTAGATATTAGCCCTGCTATCTCTGTCCTCCGATAGCGTGCATCAGAAGTGCTTACAGCAGAGAAGGTTCCTAGAGGACAGATCTAGTTTCCTGTACCTCAGGGAGTAAAACGCCATAGTGCTGGATCAGTGACTTTTCCTAACAGCAAGTAAATTCAGGCCTTATCAACTTACAGCACAAACTGCACTCATGTTTTATTATTCTCATTAGAGATTTAAGGACTAATTCCAGTTGTTAGCGCTTAGCAGTTTAATGTTTTCCATAGATAAGAATTAAGATTCTACTGGGGGATTTTTTTATTTGCTAAAGCTTGCAAAATATAATGCGGGGATGCACTTACTGTGATGTAATGCCATGGATTTTTCTAAATGTCCTGCATGTTTTGAAGGCATACATTTAAAATTTAAATCTAATGACTGAAATTTTCCAAAGTTGGACTCCCACCCATTGCACTGAAAGATGACTGACTGTCTTTGTCTGAGACCCCAAATCATGCCTCCCCTTAGAAGGAGGCCCAAAGGGGCTGGACTCGGTGCTGTCCTGGCTTTCCCTTGCATCTACTGTGTCTTTTCTCAAAGTAAATTCACTTAATCAAGACAAAATCTGGGACCTGATTCAAAAGACACCAAGACCTAGTCTTGATGTTGGTTCCTCAAAGCAAAACTGACTTTAGTACCTAATTAGGTAGAGAAAGTTGTGACCATCATGTTTATTTTATCAATATTTGCAAAGAGATTTTTAGTTTTGAACTTGAAAATTAAATCCAGACTTCTTGTGAGTTAGATAGTCACTGAGTCACTTTTTAAATGGCCTTCCAGGAGATTGTGACCACTGTTGTCCTCAGTGATCCTCCTTAAGATTCTTAAAGTGAGGTAATTCCATTCTTCATAAGGAAATTTAAGTTACTAGAGGGATAAAATTATTAATGGAATTAAGGATTAATTACTAGAGATAACTTAGGGCTTATGGTTGTTGAAGCTAATTGTTTTACGTGAATGTGATATACAGACCCATTCTTCACCTCATATCCTTGGGATTACTTTCAGATGTCTCATAACCTGTGGTACTCAGCTTTATAATACTTTTAAAGTGGCTGAATTTTAATAATGTAAGTCATCCATAGTACAGTAGTCAGTTTTGGGGACTCAGTTAATTTAGAAGGAAATGTGCTATGTATCAATGAAAGGTGTTGTCAGACTCCTTGGTGCCCACTCTGATATCTACTCTTGGAAAGATGCTTTTCCTGGTAGAAAACAACCCTAAAAGTGAGAGAAGAACTGGGAAGAGGGTAGCCAAACAAGGCACCTCTCTATCATGCTTGAGGCCTTGAGGTTGATCTCCAGCATGAGGGGCAGAAAAGTCTACTCATGGCAGGTTGAGAACTCTGAATATGCCTAGCAGGTAGGATTGGCTATAGAACAACAATAAAAGTAGCAGCTAACATTTATTATGTGCTGGGCACTAGGCTAGACATCACAAATGCCTGGTCTTATATATCAGTTGTTTTAAAGAGAATTATCCATGCATTAAATCTACCTTTTAAAAATTTCAAGACAGAGAAAACTATTGCAACTAATGTTTCCA